GTACAGTCTCTAAGGTGTATCATTTCTTTCACTTTCTAATAGAGCGTAAGTAAGAATGATAATGTTACAGAGATAAGATGCTTGAGATTCTTGTGGAGAAACTGAGTGTTTTAGGAGGGGATTCTGTACTTCTACTGACTCAAGTTTTGTGTTTTGGGTTTTCTTCCTTAAACTTCTTTACCCAAGGAATTATTTCTTGAATGCATTCTTTTTTAAAAATAGAATTGTCTTTGGGTAGTAACTTTGAAATGCAGAACCACAGAAATGCTAAACGTGATTTTTTAAAAAGAACTTTATAATGTGCCTACATTCCCTTATACATGGAGGGTGGATAATGTGCAATTTAAAAAAAAATTCTGAATTAAGCTGCTGACTTGTAAATTTTTCTAGTTCGAAATTGAGCATTTTTCTTGAAAATCATGTACAGCAACAGTCTGGGATATTAAAAATGTTACCTAAAATACATTGTATAGTACAGTTAATTACAAAGGAGATGTGATCATACCTGTCCATGTGTTTAATAAGAGCAAATATGAGAATATATTGTTGGGCCCAGTGTTTTCTTTTTTATTTGATTGCTTTTGAACCGAGTAAAGTATTGTTTATATTTACTCATGTTAATGTAGATTGAAATAGAAGTCGGAGATTAAAAGTTCTGTAGCACAGTAATGATCCACCCGTTTTCTATTACCTTGAGGTGTTCATTGTGGTTTAGTAAAAGTTGATTGTGCAATCAGGTGCCTTAAGATTTTTGCTAGTCTTTTACTTTGTGTCGTGATTTTTCTGCTGTATGGCATCAAATTTCCTGAAATCTTTTCTCAGTCTCCATCCCCCTTTGCTAACGTGTGAAAAATGCCATTGTGTATGTATGATATGGGTCATTGTATGTGTTTCTTATTCTTAACTGCTGTGAGATTTGTAGCTACTGCATTAAATGCATGCCTGGCTGTGCCTTTGTGACTCAAAACTGTTTTCTCATGCTGTCCATCACATTTCTGGTGACTCTTGTTACATATTCACTCAGTTATAATTCAGTTAAGTGTGTTAAATCTGCCTTTTTGGAGAGGGTAACAGTGCACCCTATGGTATGTGAACTCACCCTTGTGGGAAGACATTATAATTTCCAGATGTTAAGTATGTATTTTATTTTCATATTGAGATCATCTGAAGAAAGTGATTTTGTGACCTTTAAGTCAATTTAAATATGCACTCTTTGACATGAGGGAATGATCTCTAATTCTTAGGTAATGCTTGCCCACATTCATGTTGTTTTATTTGCTTAGTATCTTCCTAACTGATAATTGGGTGATGATCTCGAATTAGTGCTGAATTGAAGCACACAAGCACATAGTAGTTAATTCCTGACGAAGGCTATTAATTTTATATTTGAAGCTCTTAAAGTAATCTGTTGTTGACCTAATTTCTTTCTATTTTAAGAGATTTATTTTTTGCAGAAAGGGGAGATAGTTGTAAACATAGAAACTCTGGAATCTGTTCTTTTGAGCTAGACCCAAATGGGGAGTACTGTCAAATGAAAATGAAGGAAAATGAATGATTTCTCTGAAGTCCTAAACTGCCAAATACTATACTAAATGTATTTTCTCATCCCAATTTGCAATTTTAGTATTTATTTTTAAAGCATCTTTTTTTCATGATGATTCCTTTTATTTAATGAAAATATTTATAATTTGCTAATGTGTGTTTTCTGTTTAGCACTTGTTGTTAGCAGCACATGGTGTTATAGTATTTATATATTTTTAATAGCAATAATTGCCACCCGGTAATAGTTGCCATATTAACCTCCCATTGCTAGTAAATATTTTTAAGTACATAATAGACAGCAATTTAAGGCATAGTGTAGAGTTTACTGGACCGTTTTAAAGAGCCATTTGTACCTGTGACGAGTTCATAATTTTAAAGAGAAAATAAGATACCTAAGACCTGTGTGCTACAAATATTTCTCTGTGTTACTGCTTGAAGCGCTCCCTGGGAAGAAGTGAGGTTGGGCCTGTTTTCCTCTTTGTTAGAATGGGCAGGGGGCTGCATTCAGGACAAGGTGTTTATATAGCTTATCACTTTGGTTTGAAATGTTCTAGTCATTTTTGGGGGTATATATTAGATATTTATTTGGAAAAAAAGGCTTTTAAGGCATTCCTTTAAATAAAATTAAGTTATGGTAGTGGGTTTTATTAATTAGTTGTGGAAAATTGATTAATCTTTTTTGTTCACTGGCTAATTTAGCTTAGTTAATTGTGAGTTAATTGTATTCATCAAACACTTTGAGAGATCTCCACTCTTGAGATTAATAAAGAAGATGCACTGTTGCCAATTTGTACTATGCACAATAAGTTGTGATAACCATTAGCAAAACATAAGTTCATTCCACAGCTCTATTTTCCAAGTTATTTAAAATTGAGATGAAACTAATGTCAGTGTCGATAGTTTTGAGATTATTTATCTGGCTTTATGAACAGCTAATTCATCTATCAAAGTTTGATTCAGATATAGACTTATAGACTAGGTATTTTTAGAAATATTTGACTAATTTTTGATAGAAGATAATACTAATATTTCATTTGTTAAACTGGTAAAAGTACTTTTTTCCCTGAAAGTGGATGACACATTTATTTCAGAGGAGCTAGCCAGTGAAAGAGATTAGACAAAGCTTATGAGAATTAGTAGTATGGTTGGATATTAAATATTATTCTTGTGCTGTAAATTACATTCACTTATTAGAAATGGAAGAGAAAGATTTCCACAGCATTGCTATTAGTGTCATTAATTTGAGATGCAGTGTGTGCAAATCTACTTTTCAGACTGTGTGTATATTATTGGCTACCAACATTTCTGTTTTGTCATTTTATAAACATTTGTATTTTTAGAATAGCATTTAATGCATTGTAAAGTGAGATAATTAGGTAGCCTAAAATGTGCCTGTGGGGTATAGTTAAAACATACACACATACATTCACACACACATTTATTTGGTAGGACTTGCTTAGAGTTTTAGAATTGGTTAATCAATATTTGTAATGTGTTCTTGGAATTTAGGACTTTTTTCCCCTCTTGAGTCGTTTAACTTCTTTCTGATCCTGTTCAGATAATTTCCTTTTATAATATATGCTTTCATTGTTTATTTGAAAGATTTGAAGGTGTTAGCTTTGTTCTGTTGGGGGAATTCACTTCATTACATAGGGGAGATGATATTCCATTAATCTTGGTAAATATTAACATAAACGAGGAATTGTAAATTCAGACTCATTTGCATGAATGAAATATGTATGCTTGCTCAATTTTTGTTTAATATAAAGTCACTTATGTACATCAGCATAGTTTTTTTGTACTTGTTTTAGTTGAAACAAAAATAGTTTTAAATTCTGTTAAAATCTTAGAGTTGTATGTTTATTTCAGGGACAGTTCCCGTATTCTACTACATTGTTTTATTGTTTGACTTTTAAGATTTCTGTAGCATAGAATAGATTCTGCCTCATAAATTGTCTGTAATCGCTGTCCTTTAGAAATTCCTAAACATGCATTTTAAGTAGCATCTTGTAATTTGTTGGAATGGAATTTTTTTTTTTTAAAGCTGCTAAAATACCTTTCAGAGTATGTTGGGATTTTATTCTGGAAAAAGAAAGATGGTGTTTCTCCTTTCTTTCTAGATGAGCGTTAGGAGACTCAGTTATGTCCAAGGGAAGGTGGTATTTCATCAGTGTCTCCATACTCTGGGTTATTGCATGTATTTCTCAATGTTTACTTTCTCATTCTGGATGAATTGTGGTAGACTCTTATTAAAACTGTATTTTCACTGCTGTGAAGTAGCACAGAGCCCTGACTGACAGCTTTCTGCGTTTTGTACTTTCTTCAGTAGAGTGAAGCCCCATGACTGTTTGAGGAAGCTCCTGTGTTGATTTTATTAAAATTTCATTTGAGTCTTTATTTTGCATAGTTTAAATTTGTAGCTTTAGCTTAAATGAATGGGGAAAGACAAACTTGTAGGTAAATATTTCTTTTTAAAATCTTCATTAGATCTTTTTGTTATAAGTCTTAGTTATATTGTCACTGGACTAAATGGGTATATTTGGGACAGTTGATATTAAAATTAAATTTGAGGAAGATACTTGTTTCAAATAAAACATATAATTGTGAACAGAATTTTTTATGATGCTGAGTGGGAATTTTCAAAAATTGATAATCTAAAATATTTAAATGAGTGAACCCCCTCCCCTGAAGAACACTGATAGATTTGTGAGGAAATGTTTTGAGTAAGAAACATGAAGCTTCCCCGTGTTTCCAGATTATTTCACTTATTAGAAAGGTGATTAAATTGATTGAGCTTAATTTGAGAACTAATAGATAAGGTATTCAGAACTGATTGATGTGACAGAATACTTTGTTGTCAAATTTCAATGATTGGGTTTTAAGGCCCCAAAGAGAATAAGAAAGACCCACTAGGTATCTAATGCTAGTACATTGGGAACCAGCTCCTTTTTTTTCTTTCTTTCTTTCTTTTTCTTTCTTTCTTTCTTTTTTTTTTTTTTTTGTGCAGTCTCTAAGCCTGGCACAGTCCTACTCCTTTTTTCAGTAATTCAAATGTTACTTCATCTTCAGCGCTTTCCCTGATGACCACAGACTCAACTAGTTACTCTGGCTCCTGATGTGTAACTCTTTCTGGGTACTTCTGATAAGAAGATGAGCGTCCTAGGGCAGCCACGGGCCCATTATCTTTACATGAAACATTGTTGCATTCTCTTCCTACTTAGGTACTCAAGAAACTATTTGTTGAATGGAAGAGTTGCTGGACAGTTAGTCTTTCCTGAAATTCTGCAAGGGGCTAATCATTGCCTGTGTGGGTTCTCATCACAAGTATGCTATTTCTATGTATTCACTTATTTGAAAGGAGGAGTGACAGAGACAGGGTGCGGAAGGGGGAGAGAGAGAGAAAGAAAAAGAAAGGAAGGAAGGGAGGGAGGGAGGGAGGGAAGGAGTAAGCTCTTCCATCAGCTGGTGCACTCGCTGAATGTTGGCATCAACCAGTGCTGGGCCAGGCCAAAGCTAGGAGCTCCATTCCATTCTCTCATGTGGATGGCAGAGACTCAAGTCCTTGAGCCATCATCTGTTCCTCCAGGGCTCATTAGTAGGAAGCTGAATCAGAAGCCAAGTAGCTGGGACTTGAACCAGGCACTCCAGTCTGGAAGTGGGTGTCCCAAGAAGTGGCTTAACCAGGTATGCCACAATGCATAACCCACAAGCATGGTTTTCCATTGTGTTCTGAATGTATGTTATTGAGGTTGTCTGTAGTGTAGCTTGGTATTATTTTAAATGAAGTCTAGAAAATCTCCATTAAAGAATTAAAGCTGATTGAGTTGTGTTATCATACCATACCTCAAAGGAATAGGAAGTGAGTATATTTTCCATAGCATGATAGGCAACCTATAGATTTTGGAAACTGTTGTGGATTTTGTTTGGGGCTTGATTTGGAATTCCTTCACTTTCATTCTGTAAGCCTTACAGGAGGTCTTCTGCTCACTCTTCAATTATAAAGTTGCTTTCTGTGAGCCCAATAAAATGGGCAGTGTACTGGTAGTATTGAAATGTAAGCTGTATCCAACATTTTTAGTAGAGACTAGCCAGATCGTGTTGATCACATAGTAGTTTTATGCCTCAGTTTCTCTTTCCATGACCTTAGTGGAAGTATGGAGGAAAGGAAATGTGAAAAAATCATTTTGAGTACCTTTTAAGGAAAATACTTTGGATGACTACGTAATTTTAAACAAATATTTATTTTTATTTATTTGAAAGGCAGACAGAGACAGAGGATCGTTCTATTCACTGGTTCACTCCTCAGATGCTTACAACAGCTGGGAGCCTGGAATTCAGTCTGGGTTTTCCACATGGGGCCATCACCTGCTGCCTCCGAGGGTGCGCCTTAGCAGGAAGCTGTAATTGGAAGCAGAACTGGGACTGGAGCCTGGAACTGTGGACTCTGACATGGAATGCAGGTGTCCAAAGGTGGCCTAGCTGCTGTGAAAAATGCCTGTCTCAGATATAATGTTTTTTTTAATAGGAAGAGACCACTAGTAAATTGCAGCTAAAGTTAGAGTGGCAATAGGCAGTTAGCCAGGAAGTTGGAATGGTAAAAAAGATTTTAAGTGTAGCAGTTTCATTTGTACTTTTTGTATTTTTCCACCTTTTTTTTTTTGAGGAAGTAGAGGATTAAATTGTTCTTTTTTGTGTCTTTACTCATAAATAAGCTGTGATTGAGAAGAAAAACTTGACATTCATATTTAGATGTTATAATTGTTCATTTGTATATATGGTTCACACTTGCATGGTGTTTTTTAATGTGCCTGATGATTTTGCTAAACCAACTCTGAGCTATGATTGGCTGAGACTGGGAATTGAACTGTGGTTCTTATTTGGTAGTTTATGCTATTAATTCCTTGGCAGCTCCAGAGTGCTCTTTGAACTTTAAATAGAAGTTCTAGTAACATTATGAGATTTCTTTCAGGGAATGTCAGAAATAGTACTTAATAAATATATTTTCTTCTTAAAGACTAAATCATGTTTTAGTCTGATGTGCATGTCACAACTCTTACTCTGTTTTGATCAGAGACAACTCAGCTACTGGCTAATTTCTATTTTCCGTTTAATAATGTGGCAGTATCTAAAAATATTGTTTAGCCCTTGCTGAAGGAAGAAAAGCCCTCCCACAAATCCATAGTTTTTGTATTAGTCATGTTGACTATGAATAGTGTGTTCAGTTTTATCCAGAGGTTTAGAATTTTACATGTAGGTAGTCTCCAGCATTCTAAACTACTAGAAAAAGTTAATTTGTAAGTTTGTTTTCATAAAATAACCTCCCCAGACTTGTGTTGCTATAAATGATAGTTAGCCTATTTACCTTGTATTGTTCTTAATTACATGCATGGTAGAACTCAGATACTGTTTTTGGCAGCATTTTTATGGCTATCAACTTAGTGCTTAAGAGTGGCAGGGGCATCTTTCCTCTGCCCACAGTGCGGACAATCAGAGCAGACTCTGCTGGAACCCTTCACAGTGCCTGGCAGAGGGAGTGGGGCTGTCCCAGCGCTGGGCCCTCATCTGGGCCCACCAGATGACTACTCTATGAGAGGCTTGCAGAGTGTGTCTGCAGTCCAGGAGGGCTCCTGGTAGGAAGAACAGCATTTTGGAGTGAGGATTGAAAGCAGATTGTGCCCTCCTTTCCTGCAGGGGCCAGCTGCTGCTTTCTCTTTGCTGGTACCCTTTTCTTAAAATGTTGAGATTATTGGCAGGTTCTGTGATGTCATCATGAAAAGATTTTTGTCTTTCTTTGCCTTTTAGTTCCTTTCTTTCCTCCTTTACTCACCCTGGAAACAGACTTTCTGCTTGCTATTTTGTTTGAAGATTTCTGAGACCCGATGAGATTGGATGGCATAGCCAATAAATTAATAACCCAGAAATGTTGTTTTTCTATGCTATGTTTGAAAAATATTAGACTTGTATAATTCATTAGGAATAATGTAAATCAAATAATTAAAATCTGGCTTGGATTTACAGAAGGATTAAGAGTCTGGTATGCAGGAAAAAGACTTCCATATACTGCGTAATTTCTCAGATGTTATACCTTAAGCACAACGGGAGAGCAGCATGGACTGCCAGCAGCACCCACAAGCGCAGGTATTACAGTGGGCCTTGAAATGGGTGGATGTGGCTTGCTGGAGAGGACTAAGATAAAGACAGTTTTTGAAAGCTCAGCGTGTAACTGAGTCTGTTTTTTGGAGAGTCTTTACAGAAGTGTTATGTAGGATGCACTTGAAATTTATAGTCTTGGGTCTTGGTTTCCTGTTAAAAAATAGTACTCAATGAGATTGAATTTTTGTTAGGTGTAAAATTTGAGGTGTGTGCTGGCCAATTTAGATTAAGACATGATGATGTTAAAATAGTAATTCATTTTTCTAATATAATTGAATTCTGAACTTATAAAAACAGTGTTATATTATAACGCAAAATGCTAATGACTAAAGTGACATATTTCAAAAACTGGACAGACGTGAATCTTAAATGAGCAGATGGGATATGAGACTAAAATGGGAGATAATCCAAGATGATATAGAAACTATTACGAGAAATGAATTGAGGAAAAACAAGTATGTTAAATGGTATTATATTTAATAATGTGTTTAAAAGCCTTTCTAGGATTGCTCTCTTAATAGACAGATTAGAATTATTGAGGCCGGTGCTGCGGCTCAGTAGGCTAATCCTCCACCTAGCGGCGCCAGCACACCGGGTTCTAGTCCCGGTCGGGGCGCCGGATTCTTTCCCAGTTGCCCCTCTTCCAGGCCAGCTCTTTGCTGTGGCCCAGGAAGGCAGTGGAGGATGGCCCAAGTGCTTGGGCCCTGCACCCCATGGGAGACCAGGGGAAGCACCTGGCTCCTGCCTTTGGATCAGTGCGGTGCGCCGGCCGCAGCGCGCTGGCCATGGCGGCCATTGGAGGGTGAACCAACGGCAAAAGGAAGACCTTTCTCTCTGTCTCTCTCTCTCACTGTCCACTCTGCCTGTCCAAAAAAAAAAAAAAAAAAAAAAAAAAAAAATTTATTGAACTGTGTCGCTCATGATACTTCAAATTCTGTGCATTTAAAACAAGTTAGATTTTGGTTCAAGATTACTTGTGAAGCCTAGGCTTTTACATTTTGGATGTATATGTTGTATGTGTTTTAGATAGGCAATATAACTTGCTTTCTTGGACCTACAAATAAAAAGAGTAATCATGATTTTCAGAGGCTGTTTTAGTGGACCTTGAGGGAGGAGGTAAGGAGTGAAGAAGAGGTTTGCTGTTTGGGCCACTAGATAGTTGAAATCATTACCTTTGACCCTTTAGGGTGGAATCTGCGTTACAGAAGGCATGAATGGCTGGCAAGATGAGCAAGCTTAGACACTTTTTGTGGAACTAGCAGAACGTGAAGAGGGTAAAAGCCAGAAAGGTAATTTATGATCATAGACTTAGGAGTACTAGTAGTACAAGACAAAAGGTAAGAGGAAGATACTACTTTAAGAGAAGTTGATAATTGATGAAACAGTCTGGCTGAGGATGGCCATCAGGAACCCAGAAAATAGGGTTAGCACTGGAGCAGAGTAAGACACCTCTTAGAAACAGATTATAAGAAAGGAGTAAGCCGGCGCCGTGGCTCAATAGGCTAATCCTCCACCTTGCGGCGCCGGCACACCGGGTTCTAGTCCCGGTTGGGGCGCCGGATTCTGTCCCGGTTGCCCCTCTTCCAGGCCAGCTCTCTGCTATGGCCAGGGAGTGCAGTGGAGGATGGCCCAGGTGCTTGGGCCCTGCACCCCATGGGAGACCAGGAAAAGCACCTGGCTCCTGGCTCCTGCCAGGATCAGCGCGGTGCGCCGGCTGCAGCGGCGGCCATTGGAGGGTGAACCAACGGCAAAGGAAGACCTTTCTCTCTCTGTCTCTCTCTCTCACTGTCCACTCTGCCTGTCGAGAAAGGAGAAACATGAAAACACATTAAAGAAAGGAGTAAGCGTGAGGGAAGTACGGACAGTCTCGTTTGTAGCTTGAGTGCTTTTTATATTCAAAGACAGGGATACTAAGCCTGACCCTGAAAAACAAAATCAGGTTTTTAAAATTTTAACTGAAATGTTTGCAGTTTATCTGATGATGATTGATTGCAACAAGTACATGATTTTTTTTATTTTCTTTTAATGACTGTCTTAAAGAGTTTTACAACTTCACTAGAAGAAAACTGATTTTTGAGTCATGCTAGAACTGTGAGACACCTGTCTAAATGTGAATTCTTTTTTTTTTTTTTTTTTAAGATTTTATTTATTTGAAAGTCAGAGTTACACAGAGAGAGGAGAGAGAGAGAGAGAGAGGTCTTCCATCCATTGGTTCACTCCCCACCCAGATGGCTGCAACGGCCAGAGCTGCGAGCTGTGCAGATCCGAAGCCAGAGTTTCTTCCGGTCTCCCGTGTGGGTGCAGGGGCCCAAGGACATGGGCCATCTTCTACTGCTATCCCAGACCACAGCAGAGAGCTGGATCGGAAGTGGAGCAGCCAGGACTAGAACCAGCGCCCATATGGGATGCCGGTGCTACAGGCCAGGGCGTTAACCCACTGTGCCACAGTGTCAGCCCCTAAATACAAATTCTTTAGAGTCATCCCCATTGACATGGATCACATATCATTGCTGTTGATATAGTTGGTTTTTTTTTTTTTTTTTTTTTTTGCTCCTTTTCCCTCAGAACTGCTTTTAGAAATAATTTAGTCAACCACTCTCAGATCTTATTTTTTAAAAAGATTTATTTATTTGAAGGGCTGTGTATGGGTTGTGGGAGAGGGGACAGAGATGTTTGCTGGTTCACTCCCCAAATGCCTACAACAACCAGTGCTGGGCCAGGCATAAGTCAGGAGCCAGGAACTCCATCTGGGTATTCCACATGGACCATCTTCTGCTGCTTTCCCGTTCACGTTAGCAGGGAGCTAGCTTGAGTCGCTAGGACTCGAAACAGAAGGCTGATGTGGGATGCCAGTATTGCAAGTGATGACTTTAACCCACTGTGCCACATGCCAGTTTTGAAAATCTAAATCTCAAGGTTGCTTTTTTGGTTAATGTCTTCCTTCCTTCTGCCTTTAGTAAAAGGCAAATTAGTAAAAGTGAATTGCTCACTTGGGCTTCTGACGGAGGCCTTAGTAATGATGAGCAAAAAATCTGAGAACTTCACTTTGGATACATTGACATCCGTCTTCTCAACTACTGTGTCTAGTGGTTCAGTGTACTTTGTTTACCTACAATTTCAGTGGAGGTGGATTTAGTGATCCATTCACTGTTGACTGGATACTGTAACCAATAGTAATGGAGATGACATTTTTGCTTCTTGGAGATAAAAGCAAATTGTTATAAAGGGAAGAGTAGGATTCTAAATTGTGCCATGTTTGTATCTGTGTAGTGAGAGTCAAAAGTCATATACCATCTTCAGCTGCATTTTTGGTGAGACTGAAATAATCATTTAGAAGAGCCTTGGTGTTAGAAAAATGGGGGGGGGATGTATTCTGTTGAGATAATCTCTTATGGTTTTAACTGAAAATTTGGTTTATATGTAAGATACCAAAGTTGTTATCTTTGTCCACTTAGTGCTGCTTCAGCCGTCTGAGACTGCCTAGTAAGCCTTCTAATAGCCCACACTCCCTGCCCCCAGCAGTTTCTTTTAGTTGAAGGAGATTAGCACAAAAGCCCTTGGATGCATTTAGGATTTTTCTTTATGGTAGGCTGCCCTAATAGGGGAGGTAAAGAGGAGGCTTTGCCCATAGTAGAGGGATGCCTCTACTAGTTGTATAGATTACAAGTTATAGTGGCAAATATTATTTTTTTGTTTTGAATTAAGTATTATGAGATTTTAGAACATTTTCTCAGCTATACTATGGTCTTCATAGATGGTTTTATTACAATTCATTTTAGTAGTTTTGATATTAAGGAAATTGAAATCCTATCAAAAAGTGTTATGATATAATTTTGAAGCTATAGACATTTTAGGAAGATTTAGTTATATAATAATTAGTCTAAATAAATAAGAATAGCTACTTTAAAACATTTCAGGTATATGTAACACCTGAGTAGTTTAGCATTTGGAATTTGTAAAAGAGCATACATCTACATCTTAGAGCATAAATATTTACCTTCTGAAATATGCGTCCTTAGCTAAAGCTTATTACTAAAAACACGCTTTTCAAAGTGTATCAGTTTACATGAGAAGTATAATCATCCACACAGATTGAGTCAAGTGTCATGACCCAAATAGATTAAATTCATTAAATGTCTATGAATTACTTGAGAAAGATGTATGAAAATGATATTTTGTTTCTGTTTGGTGAGTTGTTAGTGAAACTCAGTTTTGTAGCCAGGACAGATGGTGCTATTCCTGAACCTGTCTGCAAGATCCTCTAACATTTAATTAAACAGTGAAGTGATTCTCATGAGAACCCATACCCTAGTGTGCATAAGCTAATAAACTGGTTTCTTTAGTAAATTTTACAAATTTAATTTGAAATAAAAGTATTTATCTGTTCTTCAGAAGCTTTTCTAATGAATTGGTTAAGATGAATAGCTTGTGTTGGTAGTTTCTGAGGTAAATTCAAGAAATATTCCAGATGGGAACTGAGTGACACTTACTAAGTTAGCCATTTATCTTATAAAATAACTTGCATTTTGTTGCTAAACTTTCGCATATGGTAGGTATGATACACTGTTACGAACTCAAAGAGCTGACTATATGTTAGCACTCATTTCAGAAAATAGCTATTAATTTAATTTCTTGTAATCCACCTTATAATTTTGGAATTGAAAATAGAAACATTTTGAATAGCCCAGTCCAGTTGTATTATGTTATATGCATATAAACTTAGTTTAGCTGTTCAGTAAAAGTTTGATGATTATATTGTATGGTGGAGTAAATCTGTCAGTTACATAAATAATTAGATAATACACTAATAGGTCACAAAGCATTTGTAAACATTGTTGGAAATATTCTTTTAGGCTTAATGGCCTTTTATTTAACATTGTCTCTTTACTAGGTGGGAGACATGACTGAAAGGTGACGATTGATTCCAGATTGGATGATGTGAGGAGTTGGAAGTTAATTCTGTGTGCACAGAATAATGCCTGAAG